GAAATTTATAATAACTTATATGATTATCATCTACCTAGTAAACATTTTCTATAAAACTTGGCTCCTTCCTCAGCATAAAACTTTTCAATAGCATCTAGTATTATAAGATAATTCAAAATTCAATCTATAAGAAACAGAATTACAGAAATAATTTTGAATTGGCCAGGGAAAAGGGTCATATTTGTTTACTTTAAATCAAAGATTATAGTTGCCATCTGATTCAATCCCATTTTACAGATCAGCAAATACAGACCTAACGGTAAGTAATTTACTCAAGATTACACAGAAAATCAGGGGAAAGGTGCAATTAAACTGAATGTAAGTAACTTGGTAATATCACTATCATTATAAGCCTATTGCCTGCCATAATGTCATAAATGTCTGGAATTTCGTAGGGTCCAAAAGTTTATTTTTATTAATCATTGAACAAGAAAAATAAAAACAAAAACAAATATAAACAGGCCTGTCTCCTAATTCTCATACCAATTTTCTAATCCTTCAGTGCTCCCTTAGAAATAAAGACTTAATAGTTAAATAGTTGGATGATGTTGCTGTTGTTGTTAGGTATCGTCTAGTCAGTTTTGACTCACAGTGACCCTTTGCACAACTAAACAAAACACTTCATTTAAAATACCAATGACAGAACTTCTAGTGCCACAGCAATACATAAGCCACAACAGACAAGTAGTAGAGAGAGAGAATGTACAAGGAGGCTTAAAAATTTTTGTGGAAAATGGAATTAAAAGATACTGGATTGTTTTCCACAAACTGTTTGAATCCCCCTTGTGTATACTATGTGTATATATGGCTTGTTCTTGTTGTTAAGTTCCATCAAGTTGATTCCGACTCATAGCGAACCTGTACAGGGTTTCTGAGCAACAGCTGGTGGGTTTGAACCTCTGACCTTATGATTCACAGTCCAGTGTTTATCCTGTAGTGCCACAGGCCAGTATGAGTAAGAACTGACTCAAAGGCACTTAACTACCACAATATGTGTTTTGTGTGTACATATCTATATCTACCTATCTATCTATCTATCTATCTAGATGCTGTTGCTGCTAAACGTCATCGAGTCAGTTCTGACTCATAGCAACTCTGTACAGAGTTTCCAAGGAGAAGCTGGTAGGTTTTAACTTCTGACCTTGTGGTTTGCAGTCCAAGAGGGCCACACCAGGAGTCAGTACAAATATAGATATAGATAGAAAGATCCAGCCTGGTGCCACTATAGAATAAGCACTGGGCTGCTAGCCACAAGATCACAAGGCCCTATACAGGTTCTCTATGAGTCGGAACAACTCAACGGCACTTAATCTTGAATATATATATATATATATATTATAATAGCAACTCCAAAGCCTAAGAATGGCATAATGGTACAGGAAAGTAGTAGTACATCATGATATGGTGTCATCTAAACCAGTATTGGCAAGAACAGTTTTGCTGTTGTTATTTGGTGTCATCAAGTCGGTTCCAACTCATAGCCATCCTATACAGGGTTTCCAAGGAGCAGCTTGTGGGTTTGAACCACCAATTTTGAGGTTCAAATCAGCCTGGTGGTCCAGTGCTTTATCCTACAGCACCACACCAGGAAACACATAATTCCATAAATGTAATGCATTAACCTGAAAAATGAAAGATGACTGTTTCTTCTTTATTCTTAATGCTTTATTACCTCTCAGAAAACTGTCCTTTCAGATAACAGTCTGCCAAAAGAGAACTTAGTTTAAGTTCCACTAAATCAACAACTTATCATGAATCCTTGTTAAGTACCAAGTACTTAACACAGCAATCACTCCTAATGAAAATTTTTTGGGAGCCTGAAATCAGCAATACTTGATTTCGTTGAGTCCATGTTAAGCTACTAAAATCAGTTTGCAATAACATGTTAAATTAAGTCACTTTTGACTCAGAATTAAGACAAATAATTTCCATCACCAGAAGAGAAAAGTGCTTCCAAGTCTAATGTAAGCTCTTTAGACTAACGCTAAGGCTTGAAGCTCTCCTAATCCTCTCAACACTGTGTCATATGAGTAGTTTCCTATCTTATGGTTAATATTGGGAGATACACAAGAATCATCAACTATGACCAGCATCTAACTCTTAACATCTTCTGAAGGGACTGATCTGGATTAAGTGCTAGATGTGATGCTGCAGGTTAATGTGCTGGACTGCAAGGTTGGTTTGAACTGCAAACTTATTGGTTCAAGCTCACCAGCCACTCCTCAGAAACCCTATACAGGGTCACTGTGAGTCGGAAGCGACTCAATGGCACTTGACAACAACAATAATGTGGCTAAGTTACAAATGAGATAGACTTGTCATAGTCACAAAGGCACATACCTTGGCACTGCCAGGCTCACAGCAAAGACCTCCTAGAAAGAAAAGGAAACTGCACATGGCTAGTGTGCTCTGAATTGCTGTTTACTAAGAGTGCACACTCCTATTATAACTTTTCAAGTTCAGAGACAGACAATAGAGAAGGAAATTTACCCACTAGAACAAGGCTCCACACCTATTCTTAGCTATATCAACAGTCATGGGTACTCAGGTATAAATTCTGTAAAAGGCAAATAAATCATTTTGCATAATGTCAGCAAATTAGTAAACAGGATGACTGCAGTGTTGCTGGGTTTTGCTTGTTTGTTTTCTTTAAAGAGGGAAGGAAGGACAGGTAAGGAAGGGATGGAAATCCTGAGGGTAATATTGAATGATGCACAGTATGGGGGAAGTGGAGGATTAGACAAAGGAATCAAAATGACCTTACAGCACACACACTCTCTCTCTTTAGAGTACCAGATTTTCCTTCTTATTTGTAGCAGAATGAAATGAAAGAAATAATTTCATGACTTCTTTGATGAGCTGAAAAGAGAACCATCAAAAATAATTTAGACTATTTCCATTTTTTTCCACACTGGTTCATAGATACTAACAAAAGCCAGTTTGTCTTTGTCCTATTTAGCTTTTGTTTTGCCATAAAGTGCAACAGCTTTTTTAAGGAACTTCAAAATCAATCTGACTTAAACAATAGTTCACTGTCAAAAATACACATTTTATTTATACTCATTTTGAGCTCAATATATCTATTTTCTCCTGCATTCTTAATTCCAGGAGAAAGTGGTATAGTCATTAACAGCCATGATTCTTTAAGATGAATATCATTTTCTCCCTCCTCTTGATGTTTGTTTGTTTTCTACAGGCAGTAAAGACTATAAGCCAGGTGACAACAGTAGGGTCATACACTACTGTTTTCAGGCTCTGGTTTTCTAATGTCTGAATTCAGAGAAGTGAAGGAACTGGACATAAAAGTAGTTATCACCCACCCTTGATGTGCTTCTTAGCATCACAATTTTCTTCACAGAAAAGAATCCCCCTAGAACCATCAGGTTAAAGAAGAGGGCTCTTGGTATAAAATATTTATTTTCAAGTAATGTGGCATAATAAATAGAATAAACACATCTTAAGAGTTAGGAATCTTTGGCTTTATCTGGCAAAGTCATTAAAACCAAGAGCTTCCCTGTCTCCTATCAAGAGACACATGAGATCATCTTTAAAATTCTTCCCAACTCCAAAATTCAATGAATCAAAGCCCCAAAAGATAGTTAAATTAAATATAGAGGGGAAGCTTCTCTTATTTTACCTGCAATTTTCCAAGTATTAATTTTGCTACAGTACTGGTCGTATTTGAGGGGAAACAAAACTTATTTCCCATCCGTCCTGCACAAACTACTTTTAGAATTGAATGTGAATATATCATGTTTAATTTGTGACTTTCTATGTCTGGTCACAGCAACAGCTATCAAGGCCAAATTTAGTTGTAAGACTTCACTGAAAGGAAAGGAAGCAACAGACATACACAAGTGTTAGGCATACTAACACTTAGCATTTTATACAAACGGAAACACAGTTCAAAACTTTTTGGTTATGTTATCAAAATATATTTCTCAAAATGTATCTGATCATTTTGTATAAATGTTAAAACTTTCTCCCAGTTTCTGCTTACGTTTTCATTGTGATGAAAATGATATGTGTGTGTGTGTACTAAAGAACTGCTCTTAAAAACTTCAGGTGACAATCTACAATTTCATTTGTAATCAAGCTTTAAATGTCTGGTTTGGTGTTGACCAGTAACAGGCTTTCCAAAAAGGCCTTCTAGATTACAGACCTTTGTAATGTTGTAACTAATGAATTTGAATCAAATGGAGTATGCCAGAATGTTTCAGAAAGTTCACTAAGCCTAGCATTTACTATTACTAAGGGTCTCTGTATATAAGCTGAATTTAAAAGGTTGCTTTGAAAACAACTGTGCAGGCAGACAAATCAACTTCCATCTAGTCATCCCAGAAATTCAAAAGGGTATAATGGATGAAAGTTTCCTATTACACAATAATGAGTGAATCCTTTTTTAATGGCAAACATAACCCATGAGAGTTCTGCAGACAAACTGGAAAGACCAACAATGACTGCCTTAACATTTTAAGTGTCAATATTTTAATTCCAATTCTCTTATCAACAAGTCATCATCAGTACTCAAATGATCTAGTAATTACAATAAATCTTGCCCAGATGTAACAATACTTTGCTGATGAATTAATGGATTAGTAGATTTTTCTCTATGCTCTAGTCATTTTGAGGCATACTTGGTCAGGGATGAAAGATGTAACTCTTCAGAGAAAAGACTAACTTCCTTAAAGAAAGCCAATGGGATAAAGTATCTATAGATCTTTTAAAAAAGAAAGAAAAGGAAGTAATAGAGAATAAAGTTCCAGGGCCAGAAATGAAGTTAAATATGTCTTCTATTTACAGGGTAAAAGTCAATTGGGAATCTTTATCTTTTTGTCTTAATTTTCTTTGATAATGGAAAATCCAGTAGGTAATGTTACAAAAAAGATTGCAAAAAGCAAATAAATCTAAATGTGAAGATGCAGCAAAATATCACATGTGAAGCCTGAGACCCACTAGCTAGAAAATCAGATAGGCACTATTGTAGCTATTTTATATACCTGTACACGGAGTGGTAAGTAATCTTCACAGAGATCATCCCACAGTTCTTGCAGGTCTGAAATTTCCAAGGGATAACTCACAGGTGTCTTGTAAAGGGGTTTCAAAGACCTGGTAAGGAAACCGGAACTGACCCCATCTGTCATGATAGGGCCAAGCTTGGCTCCAGGTGGGCTGGATTTCACTGGAATAGGAAGCTTGCTCCCTCGGGGGCTCTGGATGGGTTTATAATCAAGACCTTTAATCATGCTAAGAGCTAGCTCCAGCCTGTGGTTACACAGCTGCTGTGGCGCCTGTTCCTCCGAACAGCAGTCCCACTTCACAAGTTCCTTTACACTTCTCTCAGCTTCTTCATCCTTCTGCTGTGGAGGGCTAGCCTGTACACTTGCGTCCAAAGATTCCACGGAGGAACCCGGTGTTCCTTCCTCCATGCTTTCTCCATCTGGGGGTACCTTTGTGCTTAAGTCCGGTGGTCCAATCTCAGACAGAGCTGGCTCTTCTGTGCAAATGCTGGTAGACCACCTGGTAGAAGGGCCATAGGAGATACTTTTGGCCACCTTTCGAGGCACCTTACAAATAGCTTCATAATCGGAGTCAGCAACCCGCAAAGCTGCACAACCACGGCATCTCCTGGGTCGGTTTCCAGGGCCTTCCGAAACATGGCAACTGTGTGGCTCCTGAAGCTGATCCTCGTTTTCTATCCAGCATTCAAATCCAGAATAGGCAAAGTCTTCCTGGAGCAGTGCAGAGTATCTGACATCGGGTAAACCGGAAATGTCAACCGTCCCATTCCCCGCCTTGGTCTCGGCGCCAGAGTCATCGTTATTCTTTCGATACATGCTGGCAATGCAGAACTTGAGGCGATCCTTCTCCAGCAGCAGCTTCTGCAAGCGCTCAATAGAAAGAGCTTCGATGCGGGCAATAACAGTGTCGAATCTATAGATCCGATCAAGCATGAAAGCGCACTTGCTGCAAGCAAACTCGGCTTTGCCATCGCGGGAGACATCCTTGCCCAGGACGTGAGAAAGCAGAACCTGTAGGTTGAGCTTGGACGTTGTGTGGAAGATCCAGCGCCGCTGGTTGCCACACAGCTCCCGGGCACAGATCCTGCAAATCTCCTTCATCTTCCCAGCTAGCGGGTGCCGCCGAGCTTCCCCTAGGCGGCTGCTACTCTGTGATCACTCACTCGTTCTCGGCTGCGTCTTCGCCGGTCTCCCGCCGGCATGGCACAGTCCACAGGGTCTCGGATCTGCAGGGCTCAGCTCCGCCTGGCGCTCGCTGGCTCTGGGTACCAGAGTGGTCAGCCCCGCCCCTCTGGGGAGGGGGGGGCGGGAGCAGAAATGCCTCAGGGGGATGCTGAGTGACAGCGGCGCAGGCCGCGCGCGGAACCTTCCTTGTCTCCTCCAGCTGTCTTTCTAGCCAGCCGCCGCGTCCTCAATGTCCTCCTCTTTTAGAAGGCAGAGTCCCGTGTTGAGAGCAGCAGCCCGCTGCTGACGCAAAGGCTCAGTGATTGAGGATCAGATTTCAAGATGGCGCCAGCTGCTCCGTGCCTGCGGCCCCCGTGGGGCTTCTCTGGGAGTTGTAGTCCGGGAGGCTGACTCCCAGTTCTGCGCATGCGGGGTGGCGCTCCCTGGCCCCCAAATGCAGACACGGCTTCAGGGGCTGGATCATTGAGATAGTTCATGACCGGTAGAGTGACGAGCAGGTCTGACGCGGACCACTGCCAAGCTACTTTCATTTGTTCAGCTCCATCAAAAGAACGCACCCGATCTTCTCTTGGATACTCCCTCCCAGACTCTAGGATGTCCCCATGCTTCTCGTGGGGAGGAGAAAGCCGAGTTCCCTCCCCCTCTCTCCACGGGCAGTGCCACGTACTCCGGACAGAGCAGTCTGACAGGGCCACTAGATACCGCTGCGCGCCGCCTCCTTCTCGCCTGCAGCCCCACCTCCTCTGCCTGCCTCAGGTCGCCTGCAGTAAAAGGCCCCGGGGCTGCTAGAGTGGCGGTGAGGATGATAACCTGAGGGGCAGGCAGGTAAGACAGGTTTTAAAGAGAGACCCATCCATTCCACCCTTCCCTGGACTACTGGACGTATCCTGAAAAGACAAGTGCTTCCTCCTTGACATTGTGGGAGAAGGGGTTGGGTTTGGCACCCGTGGGCGATTGGCCGTTTTTAAAAAACGAAATCAGGAGATGGGCACAAAGCAGTCACCTGAAAACAAGTCCTACAAATGTCACATGAACACAACCAGTCCTGTGTGGCGCAGTAAGATCAGTACGGGACTGTGAACCACAAGATCGGCAGTTCAAACCCACTAATTGCTCCTCGAAAACCCTACAGAGTCGGATCTGACTCGATGGCATTTAACAACAATGTAGACAATAGAAGATAAAATGGATTTTTTTTTTCCAAGAAACCGTATATAAGCTTGGGTGCTGGGGCGGGAGGGGGCGCAATACACAAGAAGGGGGAGGGGAATGGAAGAACAAGGCAGATGGGAGAACAGTTAGGCAGGTTTGCATGGACTAAGTGGGTCAGAGATAAATGATGATGTATGCAAACCCCGGAACTACAGGTTTCTGGGATACAGGAATTTAGGCATGGTTTGAATGGGTAAAAGAGGGGAATATGGGAGCGTAGTGGTTGTGAGTAGGGCTACCACCCTCAAGGTCAGCAGTTTGAAACTACCAGTGGTTCCGCCAGAAAAAGATGAGGCATTCTGCTCCCATAAAGATTTACAGCCTTGGAAACCCTGTGCAGGGTCACTATGAATCGGAACTGACTTCAAAGTATTTACTAACAATGTTAAGATGCTTGGCTGTATTTTGAATCTTGGTTTCCCTTGCCTACCATTATAAAATAGACACTTGAGGGGGAGAGAAAGGAATAGCCAGAAACATCACAATAGAAAGCCTATAACTGATTAGAATACCTGAAAGGGGGCTAGAAGTTGCCCAGTGAAAGAGGCCTCCTATGGAGCCTTTACATTGCACAAGACCATAAGTGAAATCCAGAACCCCATCCAGAATTGCCTGAGGTGAGAAATGTCCACTGGAAAGGACAAGTAGACCAACCTGGAGCGGCTAGAAGAACAGAAGATACTTCGTGAAAGAAAGACTGGCAGGAAAAATCAAATACAATAACGGCATTCTTATTGACTACTACAAGAACAAGCAAGCTGTTCACCCAGGAGCCATCAAGGCAAGTGGTCGGGTCCCCTCAGAGCAAACCCCCTTCCAAGACTAAGACTCAAGGGGAATACATGAAAAGACATGTGGTCTGGCTGGTGACCACACTGGTCACAGATAAGGAGAAGAAGGGGAAAAACAGCAATGAAGTTGGGAGCTAATTCTGACCACATTCAATAGACTTCTGTGAACCCAGGTGGAAACCTGGTTGGCCAAGCAGTATAACAAGACCCAGGGACTCCTGGGTCCAGAGGCAATGACATGGCCACAGAAGACTAGAGTGGAGAGTGAGCGTCCACCTGATACGAAGTGAGGGGAGATGTACAAGAACACCCATATTTGCAGATAGTACTAACTTGACCTGGCTTCAATGGCTGGATAATCAGAACTCGACTAGAAGAAGAAAGAAGAGGGACAAAAAGAGTAACCCGCTACACAATTTGATGAACTTTACCTATACTTATGGATGTTGTTGTTGTTATTAAGTGCCGTCGAGTTGGTTCCGACCCATAGGGATCCTGTGCAGGGTTTCCGAGGCTATGAATCTTTATGGGAGCAGTAGCTCAAAAAAGGGAACAAATCTTTACAGCAAGAATCACTCCCACCCTCTCGGTACACAGTTGACAGGGATGGGCAACTTAGACATTGGCTACCCAAAATGAGGGGAGAAGTAACTGGCTTACAAGCTTTCAAGAGGGAGCCTAGTTCCAGACGGGGGCGGGAGAAGGTAGAATCTTCACTGAATGGTTTCCAATCTGTTGGGATGGAGCTAATGAAAGGAGATGGGGATAAGACTCTTGTGGTACAATAGTGAATAATTGCTATCAGGACTGACTGTGAGGGTCAGAAATGTAAAGGTAGATGCTTTGTAACAAAAGGAGGGGAGTGATTGATTTTGCAGTACAGGAGCGGAGGACCCTGGGACCATCAAGGGAGAAGAGCGGAGTATGGGACCCTACGCAGAGAAGCAGTGATGCTAGAAATGGAGGCAGAGATGATGACGTGGTCAGATGAGTGGCTGGGGACACTGGACTCGGAGGGAGAGGGGCTGTGTACTGAAGGCCAGGGGGCAGTCCTCTGGGGTGTACCCTTTGGTTGTTTGATGATGCATGGAGGGAACTGTAATCATTGCAATGAAACAAAATAAAATAGGATGAATGTAAAACTGATTTTCTCCCATGTAAGCCCACATAATTCACAATAAAAACTTTAAAAAACCCTATATAGAGTCAGAACCGACTTGATGGCACTTAACAATGTAGATAATAAAAGAGAAAAAAAAATTTTTCAAGACTGTAGATGCCGGAGAGTAGATCACCATCTTCAAGTTTTCTTTCAGGCTCAGCTATATATACTACAGTCCTTAATGGGTTTATTTTTGTGTTGTTTTGTTTGGGGGATTGGGCAGGAAGGGTGGACAAACATTAGAAAAACACTAAGTTGCTTTGAGCAAGCGTGGAGTGTATCTGGGGGTGCTGCTCTCTGCAGTCAGTGTTAATGATTTCTCTGACTCTGGTCATTACAGAGGTAAGCCCCCTTCCTCCCCCCCCCCACACACACACTCTTGAGTACAGAACTTGGAAGGCACATAGAGGAGAGTGGAAGCTAGAGCTCTGACTAGGTGGACTGCAGATGTCAAAGACCTTTTATAATATATTTTCCTCCTGGCTTGAGAGACAAGCAGACACATGACTGGAGGAACCCACCATGTCTAAGTGTTCAATTCTATGAGAGTCTCAGCAATCACATGGAAGCCCCTTACTGTTGTTAAGTGCCATGAAGTCGGTTCTGACTCATAGCAACTCTGAATAGGGTTTCCAAGGAGTGGCTGGTGGATTTGAACTAACAACCTGTAGACAGCAGTCCAATGCTGATACTATGGTGCCACACCAGGACTCCTAGAGTCCCCAGTTGTTATTTGTTGATAAGTGCATCGAATCAGTTCTGAGTTATAGTGGCCCTGGATAGGGTTTCCAAGGAGCAACTGGACCTTGGCATTTCCCAATTGTAATAAGGCTAAATTTTGCCAGCCTGGCCTTGTAAAATAAGGCCAGAAAAAGTCTTAAGTAATTCTGAACCTTATCCCCACGACTGAACTCATACTCCTAAGTCTTTGGACATTCAAATGCCTTCAAGGAGAACTCATAATAAGTTCAAATTCCTTTACTGTAAAGGAGAAGGACAGTTCTTAGAGCTTTGGGTTTAGTAGGCTACAGAAAGTTGCAAACATAATTTTACCTACACATGTACTTTCATCCCTAAAACCAGGAATGTAAAATACAAATTTCAAGTTGAACTCATTGCAGATGCATTTTTACCTGCCTCTAGGGGTCCTGCTGGAAATGTGGTGGCTCTGTAGGATTAACACTGGACTGTGAATCACAAAGTCAACAGTTCAAGCCCATCAGCCGCTCTGCTGACGAAAAATGAGGCTTTCTGTTCCCGCAAGGATTTACAGCCTTGGAAACCCTATATAAGATTGTTGTGAGTTGGAACCAACTAGATAGCACTTTACAACAACAGGGGTCCTGATGTGGCACTGTAGAGTAAACACTATACTGCTAACTACAAGGCCAGTGGTTCAAACATGCCAACTGCTCTTCAGAAGCTCTACATAGGGTTGCTATGAATCAGAACCAACTCAGCAGCACTTAACAACAACAACAATTAGTTATATGAGCCTCAAAATCAGGGGGTGGGAAATCAAACAATCTTTGCAATCTGTAATGATCTATAGCATTGCAAAGAGTTTCTGGGCAGACTGCCTGTCAGCTCACTACCCCACTGAACCCAGTGTTAAATACTGTCCTAAACAGCAAGAACTCAAGGGTCCATAAAAGTGCAAGTTAAGACATTTAATCAGGGCTTCATTTTTGACTGCCAATGCAAACCACATTTTCCTATTGGGAATATGCTAATGAAACAAAGTGCCTTACCAGAGCAAACCCTGAATGATACTTTGTAGTGTTACGTGGCTGTATACAATTGTCAAAGCTCATTGAACACTTGCTGTTGTTGTTGTTGTTGTTGTTGTTGTTGTTAGGTGCTATCAAGTTGGTTCCAACTCATAGTGGCCTTATGCATAACAGAACGAAAGACCGTCTGGTCTGGCACCATCCTCATAATTGTTAAGCTTGAGCCCACTGCTGCTGCCCCTGTGCCAATCCACCTTGTTGGGGGTCTTCCTCTTTTTCACTGACCCTCCACTTTACCTAGCATGTTGACCTATTCCAGGGACTGGTCCCTCCTGACAATATGTTGAAGTATAAGAGATGAAGTAAAAAAGGGTAAAAATGCGTTAATAAATATAAAAATGTATATTTTCCACAAACTTTTAACTAAGAGATTGCTTTTGTAAAAAGTAATCCCCCACTTAATCACATAAATGACTTTGAAAATTTGGAAGATAAAATATAGCCCAGAATAAATTCTATTAAAAAATGAATTGCAAGTTTAAAATTTT